TTGTCTCACTCTCCTTGTCTACCTATTCCCCTCTCTTCTCCCTCCTCCTCCTGCCCCACCGCAGCCATCATACAGTCAGGGGAACAAGGTGGGCGCTGCGACAAGTGGCTGGAACTGCTGCACTTGATCGGGATGTGGCCAGAGACGTACCTTCAGGATGCCGCCTCGGGTATACAGGCAGCTGCAGGGTTGGTCAACACTAGCCACTACATAACTCTGGACGATCTGATGTCCGGTTATTTACATGCGAGCCTCTTTGATCCTCTCAAGAGTGTGTTAGATAGCCTTAATAAATGGGGACCCGTGGCTCAGCGAGTCACGGGTCCAGCGCCCCACCACTGGCCGGCACGATGGCAAATCATGACATAACTTGTTATAAAAAGATTCATATTCCATAAATGTAGATTCGAAGTCTGTGTTAGTAAATGTTAGTGTTGTCGACGAGTGGAACACTGCCTCTTCCCTCCCTCCCCCCTTCCTCGTCTCTCTGTGCTTCGTAGCCTCTCTTACGTCTTTGGAGACGACACGCATACTCGGATATTCAGACCACTGAACGACCTGGTGTCCGGTTGACTACGCTTACTGGAAGGTGCATTCGTGAAGTGTGCGTGCGTGCGTGCGTGTCACAGATGTGGCCAAGACTCACTCATCCCTCATGACCCATGATTGGGCGAGCGTGGGAATCCTACCCGGATTTGGGAAATGATCTAAATGCTTCACTTAACTCGGGGAGGGGATGATGATAGATGGGGTTACCTTGAGACGATTTCGGGGCTCAACGTCCCCGCGACCCGGTCCTCGACCAGGCCTCCTGGCGGATAGATGGGGGGGGGGGAATGAAGGACGAGAATATCAACTTACTCGATTATAATAGCCTGAGGATAGACGACCTTGCTACACGATTAATAACTTGTTTATCTCTTCAAGGCTGGAGGGCAGATGTTAAGGGCCAGCCTCACTCAACTTTGCAGGGTGACAGGTGATGGGTTGGTGACTAACATAGGTGGGTCGGCACCATTGCTCCAATGGTGACTTCCATGAAATCCTATTACATACATATACAACAACGATCACGAAAACACTGATCCAATTATGAGGAATAACCACAATAAAAAATAAGGGAATGCTGAACGCGTCTTCGGCTTCATGCCATCCTCAGAGCATAGCCCTTCCTCCGAATAGAAATACGGTTTAATACTAAATGTAATAAGTTCATTCTTCACTGTCGGCATAATACAAAAATACACTTAACTGTGCTACACTTACCTCCCCCATATATTCTCTTCCTTTCGTGTTAATACACTCAAAATTTTAAGATCAAAGATTAAGAACTAAATTCCATATCGTCAAGTTTTAAATGTAAAGAATTTCTTTTTCAGTTTTATTAAATAATAGAGAGTTTATATAAAATTTGAAAATATCCGAAGTTACTTTATAATTTATTGAAATAATTTAGTTTTGTTTTATTAGTTTTGTAAAATTGTAGTATGAATATAGCTATAGGTTAAGTATTAATTGTAATTAAGACGCAATAAATGCTTTTTACATGCTTGTCCTCCTACACTTACACGATTACGTCCTGGTTTTCTATAAAGCTTTTTAGGTAAACTATAATATTCACAATATTTTGGTGCGATGCTGGAGATTAAGTGTATTTATGTACTATGCCGATAGTCAGGATTGTACTTATTACATTTAGTATTAAAACGGACTGTCTAGTCTTAGGATGGGCTGCAGAGCAAAACAGTTCAATGACCCGGCCAGGATTCGAACCCATAACGTCTATGATCACCCCCAAACGTTCACAGTACCGTGACCACCTCACCATAGACCTCTGTACGGGGTTAAATATATATATATATATATATATATATATATATATATATATATATATATATATATATATATATATATATATATATATACATACATACATACATACATACATATATATATCACCAGTTATATGCTCAAGACACTCATTATCCTTCACAAGACAGAAACTGACAGAGGCGGGACCAGAGAGCCGAAGCTCAACCTCTGGCAAGCACAACTAGGCGAGCACGTGTTTAAGATTAATGGATGAGGTAAGGTAATTGTGAGGAGAGAACGGCACACCAGTGGCACTGTTCAGCACTTGGACCGGGATTAGGAGAACAATGATCTGGGATATGACGACAAATGGGTTGGGATATGTGACCTAGAGGTTGGGATGTTGGGATGAGAGACCGTCGCTCTACCCACCAGTCCAATATCAACGTGGGTGATGGAGTTTACATTGGTCTACCTCATTTGTCTCACTCTCCTTGTCTACCTATTCCCCTCTCTTCTCCCTCCTCCTCCTGCCCCACCGCAGCCATCATACAGTCAGGGGAACAAGGTGGGCGCTGCGACAAGTGGCTGGAACTGCTGCACTTGATCGGGATGTGGCCAGAGACGTACCTTCAGGATGCCGCCTCGGGTATACAGGCAGCTGCAGGGTTGGTCAACACTAGCCACTACATAACTCTGGACGATCTGATGTCCGGTTATTTACATGCGAGCCTCTTTGATCCTCTCAAGAGTGTGTTAGATAGCCTTAATAAATGGGGACCCGTGGCTCAGCGAGTCACGGGTCCAGCGCCCCACCACTGGCCGGCACGATGGCAAATCATGACATAACTTGTTATAAAAAGATTCATATTCCATAAATGTAGATTCGAAGTCTGTGTTAGTAAATGTTAGTGTTGTCGACGAGTGGAACACTGCCTCTTCCCTCCCTCCCCCCTTCCTCGTCTCTCTGTGCTTCGTAGCCTCTCTTACGTCTTTGGAGACGACACGCATACTCGGATATTCAGACCACTGAACGACCTGGTGTCCGGTTGACTACGCTTACTGGAAGGTGCATTCGTGAAGTGTGCGTGCGTGCGTGCGTGTCACAGATGTGGCCAAGACTCACTCATCCCTCATGACCCATGATTGGGCGAGCGTGGGAATCCTACCCGGATTTGGGAAATGATCTAAATGCTTCACTTAACTCGGGGAGGGGATGATGATAGATGGGGTTACCTTGAGACGATTTCGGGGCTCAACGTCCCCGCGACCCGGTCCTCGACCAGGCCTCCTGGCGGATAGATGGGGGGGGGGGGGAATGAAGGACGAGAATATCAACTTACTCGATTATAATAGCCTGAGGATAGACGACCTTGCTACACGATTAATAACTTGTTTATCTCTTCAAGGCTGGAGGGCAGATGTTAAGGGCCAGCCTCACTCAACTTTGCAGGGTGACAGGTGATGGGTTGGTGACTAACATAGGTGGGTCGGCACCATTGCTCCAATGGTGACTTCCATGAAATCCTATTACATACATATGCAACAACGATCACGAAAACACTGATCCAATTATGAGGAATAACCACAATAAAAAATAAGGGAATGCTGAACGCGTCTTCGGCTTCATGCCATCCTCAGAGCATAGCCCTTCCTCCGAATAGAAATACGGTTTAATACTAAATGTAATAAGTTCATTCTTCACTGTCGGCATAATACAAAAATACACTTAACTGTGCTACACTTACCTCCCCCATATATTCTCTTCCTTTCGTGTTAATACACTCAAAATTTTAAGATCAAAGATTAAGAACTAAATTCCATATCGTCAAGTTTTAAATGTAAAGAATTTCTTTTTCAGTTTTATTAAATAATAGAGAGTTTATATAAAATTTGAAAATATCCGAAGTTACTTTATAATTTATTGAAATAATTTAGTTTTGTTTTATTAGTTTTGTAAAATTGTAGTATGAATATAGCTATAGGTTAAGTATTAATTGTAATTAAGACGCAATAAATGCTTTTTACATGCTTGTCCTCCTACACTTACACGATTACGTCCTGGTTTTCTATAAAGCTTTTTAGGTAAACTATAATATTCACAATATTTTGGTGCGATGCTGGAGATTAAGTGTATTTATGTACTATGCCGATAGTCAGGATTGTACTTATTACATTTAGTATTAAAACGGACTGTCTAGTCTTAGGATGGGCTGCAGAGCAAAACAGTTCAATGACCCGGCCAGGATTCGAACCCATAACGTCTATGATCACCCCCAAACGTTCACAGTACCGTGACCACCTCACCATAGACCTCTGTACGGGGTTAAATATATATATATATATATATATATATATATATATATATATATATATATATATATATATATATATATATATATATATATATATATATATATACATACATACATATATATATATATATATATATATATATATATATATATATATATATATATATATATATATATATATATATATATATACATACATACATATATGAGTAAGTTGTTCTGAACGAGGTGAGAATAGCGTGAGGTACCTCATCCCTTTGTGTGTATTTATATCTCGATAAACATTTTTCAGTTTCTATTTCAACTGAACTCAACAATGTAACCATTTTTATTAAATGCTTTTATCACTTATTTCTGTACACAGAAGAGTACAGGAACTGTAGGGTATAGGTACAGATGACTGCCAACAGGCTGAGAGCCTTCCCTTCCTATAGCTCATGGTGAGCATTACCCACTAGTTACCCTGGAACACTACCTAACAAGCGGTTAACAACCAGGTACCTAATCACTGCTGGGCCAACATTTAAGGATTGGTACCCAGTCAGGACTGTAACCATCATCACTACCCAGGCACCACTGGGTCTCCCCTCTCCTTCACCACCTTCCCGTCATCTCCGTAACTATTTTGGGAACGGCTCCCAATAGTTAAGCCTTTTGGGGTCAGTCCGGACCCCGCTAGGTGCAGTTATCTGGATAATTACCTATTTTTGTTACAGGAGAGGAACTATGTCTCTGAATCCTACCCCCAACTAGACCACTATTTGTGATGAAGCGGTTTTCATTGTCCTAACAACTCCCCAGCGATCAATGACACTATTGTTAGTAGCATTTTTATACTGAACGATTACCATGCCCCGTCTTCGTGTCCTTCAGGTACAACATATCTGCCGAGGACGTCCAGTATTTCCTGACGGAGCTGAACGCGCTGATCGAGCCGGAGGAGTGCCGGAGGCTGAGGCCCCGAGGCTGCGAGGCGGCGCTGGGGCCCCCGCGCTGCTCCCCCCTCTACCCTTACCGCTTCGTCGACGGCTCCTGCAACAACCTCCGCAACCCCAAGTGGGGGGCGGCCATGACCCCCTTCGTCAGATACCTGGTCCCTGCTTACGAGGACGGTGAGTACCTGCTCCCTGCTGCATGGCGAGGACGGTGAGTACCTGCTCCCTGCTGCATGGCGAGGACGGTGAGTACCTGCTCCCTGCTGCATGGCGAAGACGGTGAGTACCTGCTCCCTGCTGCATGGCGAGGACGGTGAGTACCTGCTCCCTGCTGCATGGCGAGGACGCTGAGTACCTGCTCCCTGCTGCATGGCGAGGACGGTGAGTACCTGCTCCCTGCTGCATGGCGAAGACGGTGAGTACCTGCTCCCTGCTGCATGGCGAGGACGGTGAGTACCTGCTCCCTGCTGCATGGCGAGGACGCTGAGTACCTGCTCCCTGCTGCATGGCGAAGACGGTGAGTACCTGCTCCCTGCTGCTGGCGAGGGCGGTGAGTACCTGCTCCCTGCTGCATGGCGAAGACGGTGAGTACCTGCTCCCTGCTGCTGGCGAGGGCGGTGAGTACCTGCTCTCTGCTGGCGAGGACGGTGAGTACCTGCTCCCTGCTGCTGGCGAGGACGGTGAGTACCTGCTCCCTGCTTACGAGGACGGTGAGTACCTGCTCCCTGCTGGCGAGGACGGTGAGTACCTGCTCCCTGCTGCATGGCGAGGACGGTGAGTACCTGCTCCCTGCTGGGGAGGACGGTGAGTACCTGCTCCTTGCTGCATGGCGAGGACGGTGAGTACCTGCTCCCTGCTGCATGGCGAGGACGGTGAGTACCTGCTCCCTGCTGCATGGCGAGGACGGTGAGTACCTGCTCCCTGCTGCATGGCGAGGACGGTGAGTACCTGCTCCCTGCTGCATGGCGAGGACGGTGAGTACCTGCTCCCTGCTGCATGGCGAGGACGGTGAGTACCTGCTCCCTGCTGCATGGCGAGGACGGTGAGTACCTGCTCCCTGCTGCATGGCGAGGACGGTGAGTACCTGCTCCCTGCTGCATGGCGAGGACGGTGAGTACCTGCTCCCTGCTGCATGGCGAGGACGGTGAGTACCTGCTCCCTGCTGCATGGCGAGGACGGTGAGTACCTGCTCCCTGCTGCATGGCGAGGACGGTGAGTACCTGCTCCCTGCTGCATGGCGAGGACGGTGAGTACCTGCTCCCTGCTGCATGGCGAGGACGGTGAGTACCTGCTCCCTGCTGCATGGCGAGGACGGTGAGTACCTGCTCCCTGCTGCATGGCGAGGACGGTGAGTACCTGCTCCCTGCTGCATGGTGAGGACGGTGAGTACCTGCTCCCTGCTGGCAATCACCTGTATGACAACAAATTCACATAATCGATATCAATCTGTACAAAAAAGGTATATTGTTTAACATCAAACTTCGCAATAGGCCGACAGAGGGAGTCCACTGTGAGGTCCGTCACCAGGAAGACCAGAGAGTGCAGTCACCGGGTGGCTGTACTCTCCTGACAGTCAGTAACCTCCCGGAACAATAACTGACTGTTCACTCCTCACAGTCACAGGACAACCTCTGGCCACCTACCAAAAAAAGGCCCCAAAAAGGACTTCAAACATTATGGCACTTTGCGACCACAATTTCACGAGCACACTGGAGTCGCCCAGAGGACATTCCTCTATGATAAACGCTCCGTGCAATGTCCCAAAGGAACGTTGCAATGTCTGCAGGGCGAGGCAGATGACCATCGGCAAATAATGCAATTAAACTTGCATGATGATTACCGTCTTGGTCTTTTGTGTAGCGTGTAATGACAGGTTGTACACAGGGGGGACAGGAGACAGGGACAGGAGCGACAGGATAGGAGACGGTGACCCCAACTTGAGTAGCGTGATACTGCAACAACAACATTTGCAATGTAACGTTTGAGATATGGTTGTTGTGGTGCAGGTGTTGTGGTAGTGGTGCAGTTGTTGTGGTAGTGGTGCAGGTGTTGTGGTAGTGGTGCAGTTGTTGTGGTAGTGGTGCAGGTGTTGTGGTAGTGGTGCAGTTGTTGTGGTAGTGGTGCAGGTGTTGTGGTAGTGGTGCAGGTGTTGTGGTAGTGGTGCAGGTGTTGTGGTAGTGGTGCAGGTGTTGTGGTAGTGGTGCAGGTGTTGTGGTAGTGGAGCAGGTGTTGTGGTAGTGGTGCAGGTGTTGTGGTAGTGGTGCAGCTGTTGTGGTAGTGGTGCAGGTGTTGTGGTAGTGGTGCAGGTGTTGTGGTAGTGGTGCAGGTGTTGTGGTAGTGGTGCAGGTGTTGTGGTAGTGGTGCAGGTGTTGTGGTAGTGGTGCAGGTGTTGTGGTAGTGGTGCAGGTGTTGTGGTAGTGGTGCAGGTGTTGTGGTAGTGGTGCAGGTGTTGTGGTAGTGGTGCAGGTGTTGTGGTAGTGGTGCAGGTGTTGTGGTAGTGGTGCAGGTGTTGTGGTAGTGGAGCAGGTGTTGAGGTAGTGGTGCAGGTGTTGTGGTAGTGGTGCAGGTGTTGTGGTAGTGGTGCAGGTGTTGTGGTAGTGGTGCAGGTGTTGTGGTAGTGGTGCAGGTGTTGTGGTAGTGGTGCAGGTGTTGTGGTAGTGGTGCAGGTGTTGTGGTAGTGGAGCAGGTGTTGTGGTAGTGGTGCAGGTGTTGTGGTAGTGGTGCAGGTGTTGTGGTAGTGGTGCAGGTGTTGTGGTAGTGGTGCAGCTGTTGTGGTAATGGTGCAGCTGTTGTGGTAGTGGTTCAGTTGTTGTGGTAGTGGTGCAGTTGTTGTGGTAGTGGTGCAGGTGTTGTGGTAGTGGTGCAGCTGTTGTGGTAATGGTGCAGCTGTTGTGGTAGTGGTTCAGTTGTTGTGGTAGTGGTGCAGTTGTTGTGGTAGTGGTGCAGGTGTTGTGGTAGTGGTGCAGCTGTTGTGGTAATGGTGCAGCTGTTGTGGTAGTGGTGCAGTTGTTGTGGTAGTGGTGCAGTTGTTGTGGTAGTGGTGCAGGTGTTGTGGTAGTGGTGCAGCTGTTGTGGTAATGGTGCAGCTGTTGTGGTAGTGGTTCAGTTGTTGTGGTAGTGGTGGAACTGTTGTGACAGTAAAGTGGTAAATCCCCCCCCCCCTAGGACAACTGCTGCCTACCTCCATAACGCAACCCACAACAGTCGTTTAAATCCCGGGTGCCTATTTAAAACTAGGTGAACAGAGGCATCAGCTAAGATGAAACATTCGAACCTTGCGCGAGAAGGTCTCAACATCCATAAAGTTGTAAATGGAAGTGGCTTCCACAACTCCTTCTTTCAGCGCATTCAGCTTGTTGGCCGCCCGTTCAGGGTAAGATCCGTTCCTTAAATGTCAACATTAGTGTGGTCCACACTGACGTGAGAGAGTTGGCTGGAGGCCTTCACGACGCACGAGCCCAGCTGTGACAAACTACTAAATTCTAAATAAATTATTTAATACGGAACCAGTGTGTCCTTGGAGAGGAGCTGTAACCTCAGCTCACAGGGACGTCTTCTCCTGACATGGGACTCTTCACATAACGTATATGTTTAACGCCAAAACATAAAATTGTGGGTAAATAGTTTTTTAATTAACCAGATTTTTTTGTGAACAACACAGAAGATTTTGCTACAAAAAGTAAATGCACAAAAATTATTTAAACATTTATGAATATAATTGCGAGTAGAGACACGCAGCGACAATGGTGACTCAGTGGTAGAAATGGAGGTAGTGTAGGCCAGTGCTTGTCTACTGGCCGCTCCCTCACCCTCCACTCCTTCTCCACCTTGTGTGTTTGGCCTGTTCCCCCCCCCCCCCTTCAGCATCCTGCACACCGTGCTGGACACTGTCACACCGTGCTGGACACTGCCACACCGTGCTGGACACTGCCACACCGTGCTGGACACTGTCACACCGTGCTGGACACTGCCACACCGTGCTGGACACTGCCACACCGTGCTGGACACTGTCACACCGTGCTGGACACTGTCACACCGTGCTGGACACTGCCACACCGTGCTGGACACTGTCACACCGTGCTGGACACTGCCACACCGTGCTGGACACTGCCACACCGTGCTGGACACTGCCACACCGTGCTGGACACTGCCACACCGTGCTGGACACTGCCACACCGTGCTGGACACTGTCACACCGTGCTGGACACTGCCACACCGTGCTGGACACTGCCACACCGTGCTGGACACTGTCACACCGTGCTGGACACTGCCACACCGTGCTGGACACTGCCACACCGTGCTGGACACTGTCACACCGTGCTGGACACTGTCACACCGTGCTGGACACTGCCACACCGTGCTGGACACTGCCACACCGTGCTGGACACTGTCACACCGTGCTGGACACTGCCACACCGTGCTGGACACTGCCACACCGTGCTGGACACTGTCACACCGTGCTGGACACTGCCACACCGTGCTGGACACTGCCACACCGTGCTGGACACTGTCACACCGTGCTGGACACAGTCACACCGTGCTGGACACTGTCACACCGTGCTGGACACTGCCACACCGTGCTGGACACTGTCACACCGTGCTGGACACTGCCACACCGTGCTGGACACTGCCACACCGTGCTGGACACTGCCACACCGTGCTGGACACTGCCACACCGTGCTGGACACTGCCACACCGTGCTGGACACTGTCACACCGTGCTGGACACTGTCACACCGTGCTGGACACTGTCACACCGTGCTGGACACTGCCGCACCGTGCTGGACACTGCCGCACCGTGCTGGACACTGTCACACCGTGCTGGACACTGTCACACCGTGCTGGACACTGTCACACCGTGCTGGACACTGTCACACCGTGCTGGACACTGTCACACCGTGCTGGACACTGTCACACCGTGCTGGACACTGTCACACCGTGCTGGACACTGCCACACCGTGCTGGACACTGTCACACCGTGCTGGACACTGCCACACCGTGCTGGACACTGCCACACCGTGCTGGACACTGCCACACCGTGCTGGACACTGTCACACCGTGCTGGACACTGCCACACCGTGCTGGACACTGCCACACCGTGCTGGACACTGCCACACCGTGCTGGACACTGTCACACCGTGCAGGACACTGCCACACCGTGCTGGACACTGCCACACC